TAGGTCCCTTCCGACCCTTAATCTATGAATCTATGAATGACAGGGTTGCACATAGAAACACACAATCAAAGAAAAATAGGGTAGGATAGGACTCAGGAGGTTATGTAGGCCAATCCTCTGCTCAAGACGCAATCATTCCTGTCTAAGCCATTCCCGACTACTCTTTATTTAACCCAATCTTAAAAAATTCCAGTGATGGACACTACACAACCTCTCTAGGTAATCTGTTCCAGTTTTTAACTGCTCTCATAGAGAGAAGTTTTTTCCTAACATTCAACTTAAATTAATTTTGTTGTAGTTCAGGACCATTATTTCTTGCCCTGTGTCCTGAGGCTACAGAGAACAATCTATCACCATTGTCTTTATAACCACCCTTCATGTATTTGAAGACAGTTACTAGATCTCCCTTCAGTCTTCTCTTCCCCAGACTAGATAATCCTTTTCTCATAAGTCATCCAGCCTTTTCTCGTCATAAATCATCTTTCCTAGAGTTCTAATATTTTTATGAGTTTCAATGAGTTAGGTTTCTCCCTCCTCCCCATAGCTTCTCCCTAACTGCTATTTAGGCACCTCTGAATATAATTTGGATCTGGTCATCATTTCTTTCCTTATACCATTCAACAGACCTTGGTGAAGAAGATATTTGGAGGCATTTTTAGGGTTGAATCTGATTCTCTTTGATAAGCTGTAATTGTGTGTCCCACAAAAGAGTCTGTCTTCAATTACTGAATCGTTAATGATTCACTCTCAGCTCAGCTTTCATTTCTGTAGAAGAATCTGTTCACCAAGAAATCCTATCTCACACATTTGCCAGGACAAGCAGCGGAGTCCTCAAACATAGATCCTTTGGCTGGGTACCTCCTGCCACGTTAGCAGAGCAGGGTGGACAGGTTAACTAGCACTGACTTTCAGCAGTGCTAATCAGCCTATCAGCACTGCTGTGTGAATTCAGTAACACTGCGATTCAGTAAGTAGCCAATGTAGAGTGCAGGAGCCTCCACATTGGGGGCACTTGGGGTTGACCAACATACTGTGG